GCATGGGGGCAATGCCCAGCAGGTTTTCAGCTCACAATACGGAAGCTGTTGCACGCCCTCTCTGAGCAGGACTGAAACACGTCCACTAGCTAAATCAATTTTGACCAACAGCCTCAGCTGCCGACACCCCCCTGGCGGCTTGGTGACTTGAAAAGACAGCAGACACACACTGCTCTTATCTGTCAGCGCGAGACACACGGATCGCTCATGTCTATTGCTACTGCTGCCGGCATCTCGCTCTGAGGTCCGACGATGCTCTCAGGCGGCCCCTGCCGACGCCGACCTTCTGGCATGGCCGGACCAGTGCCCCTGCCCACTCGCACAAGCTAAGCTCACTCTGCAGCGTTGCCTCAGCGTGAATGCACTTGCAGCTTTCCTGCTGCGCTGCCGGGCTCAAGATCACTGCAGGCATCAAGCATAACAATATGCAAAGCAGAAGGCTCAGGGCCCAGAATTTCGACTATTACAGCTTGCTCTGCCCTAGGCTACAGTTCTGACATTCCTGCGCAGCTCCTCACAGCCTCAACTTCCCCTAGCCTGGTAAGTGTGCGGTGCTCAAAGAGCACAGGCAACCGGGCATGGCAGCCACACCTACCACGCCGAAGCCCTTCTTGGTGCTTAGTGACAGCACCTTGCAACACTTGCTCTGGAAGGGGGCCAATGGCCAATCCTACGGAATCATTGACATGGTTCGGGGTGCAATGCACGGCTATGTCATCTCCTGCCCGGGTACCACTCTCACAGCAGAGTACGCGGGTGCGCAGCCACCCAACCCAGCGGTGTTGGAGGTACTGGCCTGGCAATTCATCCGCGTCCTTGGAGAAACGCGACCTTTCCCGGCGGGAAGCCCTGCATTGATCAATTTTCTCCGGGATCATTACTATGACGAAGTTAGTGTGCGCCTGATCCCCATCAGACAAAGCTTATTACCCCATAAGCAGACGAACTACGACTGGATCGCGGAGCTCAGGGACCAGTATGGCCTGGGACGGTACGAGCTCAGCGATGAGACCATCATGAGCCTCCAAGGCCCTCCTCCCCTGGTTGACCAAATATACAACCAAAACAACTGTCACTTTCGACCGACGGTGGCGGATCAGGTCATTGGCTTACTGGTATCCCGCTCAATTCAAACGATGCGGCGACTGAAGCCAAATGCGATCCATGTTCTGGTTGTGTGCTCATGGAATTGCCAGGGGGACAATGTCCACAAGGAGATGAACGCCACATTTGACCTGTGCTGCTCGGAGACACTGTCTGAGGTGGGTGCGGTGGCTGCTCGACACACGGGCAAGGCATGGGCCCTCAGGCCCTTCCTGGAACCCTACGTCAGTCGCCGGCCGATGCCCCGCACTCTTTTTCAGACATACATGCACGATGACCACCCAGGTCCCAAAAGCATGTGCCAGGAATTCCTGGCTGACTTCGAGCGCTCCTTCTGCAATGACGAGGTTTTGCTCGAGACCCTTCAGGTGCACGCTGGAGACGCCGGAGAACACTTGATCAAAAGCTTGAGGCAGCCTGCTCACAAGGCTGATGTCTTCAGATACGTCTACCACTATTTTCATGGTGGCCTGTACCTTGATATCAAGATGGCGCTGAGAATGCCCTTCGATCAAATTTTAGGGCTCATCGCTTCAGAATGGGACAATGTCCAAGTTCGCAAAAGCAAAGAGCTGGGGCAATGCCCAAATGGAGTGGAGGGGGTTCTGCCCAAGGAGTACATGATCATGGGCATTGGGGTCAAAAATGACCACATTTTCCAGGGCATCATCTATGGACAACCGCGCCATCCCCTCATGCTCTGCGCTATCAATCACGCTTTCAGCAGGCAAATACTTGCCTCGGTCGCCAACCTGGACTACATGATCTTCTGCAAGGAACTTTGGAAGCTCCTCACGCACGACATGGGCCACACCCCAGTGCCAGGATGGAACCAGACCCGACAGTTCGGACCGGTGTATTTGCTCCGCGAGCGACACTCAACTCAGCTCACCAAGTCCAAAGAGCTTGAGTCCGATGGTCACTACTTTGAGACCCGCGGTCAGGTTCGAGTAGCATTCACCCGCTGCTGGAGCTGGCGAAAAGGCTTCAAGGGCGACCCCAGGGCAGCTCAAAGAAATGAAAACTCTCTCATGCAGAGCGTGCCCCAAATCGTTTCGGAGGTCATTGAAGCCGGTGGCGCTGCCTCTGCAGCACCCCATCCAGCACGAGCGGGAGCAATGCTCACCAATGCAGGCGTCAGAGTTGTCGGCGAGACCGTGCTCAGCAGCCTCGAACGGGGTGATTTCGACGCGATTATGGCGGCGGTCGAAAAGGAGCCGCAGTACCACGGCATTTCGGCCGAGGCTGTCCTTCGCAACATCCCCCGGGGCCTCTGCCTTCACCCTGAAGATCCTGACTGGCTTTCCTGCCGCTACTGCGAGCGCGGCGGCCGACGCTTGAAGTTCCCAAATGAGTTGGGAGTCACACACCACTTCATGCAATCCCGGCACGACCGATCAGTGCCCGAGCCACCAGGCCCCCCGCCTCGCAATAGTATGTGGTCGCAGCGCCCGGCCGAGCCTGCAAACCCTCCCTCAGCTGCAGCCATTGCAGCGTCAGGCCAGACTCCACCACCACCAGAACCCACGGCGGACCGTCCGCCCCAGTGGAGACCCACAGCGTCGGTGTCTAAGGCACGCTTTGGGCTCGGTCTCCCTCCCATTCCGCCAGGTCCTACCCCACAAGCGCAGGGCCACCGGCCTCTTGCAGCGAAAGAAGAACAGGGGGTCAATGACCAACCGGCGGACATCAAGGATGAGACACATGTCACTGCTGATCCCACGTTGGGATGGGCGGAAGACACTGTGGGCACGCCAGACACTCCGATGCTGCCGGCGGGCACACCGCAGTCACACAAGTCTGCTGGCCCTGGCCAGACCAGCGATCGGCCTTTCAACGCATTCTCAACCCAGAATGTGACTCCGACAGCTGCCCCCACCGAGGAGACCGTCCCACAGACCCCAGGCCCGGCTGACATCACAGCCTCATCCCCTGTGGATGCCCCCTCTACGCGTGCAGAGGTCAAATACCAGGGACCGGTCACCACGACCAAGCTGGTGGAGTACAGTGTCAACCCCTCTCCAGAGCAAGAGGCAAATCAACTGCCAAAGAGAGATCAGATTATTCACATCTGCCAGTCTGACCAGATGCTGGAGTGGGTCCATGCCTTTGCGACCATTTCCATTATGAAGGAGCAGGCTATCGTGGGTGGCCTCACAGCCTCTGAGCAGGTCTACCTTTGGACCAATAGGTTTCGAGCACTGGGCAAGGTGCCGTGGATCTTCGCCCCGATCAAGAAGGTCGCCACCGACAAGGATGCCAACTGGCTTGACATCACGCAAGCGCGGCTTATGGTCGGGGCCAATGGCCAATTCACACTATCCATTGGCCAAGATGATCGCTACACCGAGCTCAAGTCCACCACGACCTACTATGGCATAGTGCATGCCCTTTTTCAGAAAATGTGGGATCATCCGGACATGAGCGCATTGCTCGAAACGGATGACAACTTCGAGATCGTGGCCTCCACATTCAAGTGCATCTATGACCAGTCCTCCAGGAAAAGTGGGGGTCAAAATCGCGCCATCTTCTACCAGCCTCGGGAAGGACACGTTGTCCGCAAGCTCCGCATCGAACACAACAAGGGCGACACGCCCACATACCAATGGCATCGCCAACGCGAGCTACGGGAGCAGCGGGAACAGCGAGACAAGCGCTCTGGTGAAGAGACACAGTCTCACACAGATAAGCGCTACAGAGACGGCGATGCCTGGACCCGAGGAGGGTGGTGGAATCGTGGCACGGACTCAGGGGCCAGTGACAGCCGCTCCTGGCACCAGTGAGCCCCAACTTTGATAACCGGTGCCAATGGCAACCTATACAGCGAAAAAACGGAGGCCATGCCTGCACTCATACTTCGTTTCTTCCGGCATGTACTGACGGCCTTTCTGCTGATCGCCGCCGCTGTCAGAGAAAAACACGCCTTGCCTTCTGCCAGTCGCAGAACTGTGCCTCTGCAATCAGTGCTGCATAATCACTATCCTCGCGCAGGTACATACAACACTCTGAAGCTTGTAGCCTGGCCGCCTACCAACTTGCTTCGGCTGACCACTGCCAGTTAGCCTGACGCCGGTAGGCCGCCAACACCCAAAGGTCTTTGACCAGGGCTGTTCAGCTATAGGGTCTGAGTCAGTTTCACACCATGTGAGTGCACCGCGGCAATCGCCCGCTATGTGCTGAGCCCGCTCGCACAGCGTTCAATTGAAAAATAGTAATCGCAACAATCCTAGTATTCGTAGCAATGGTAGTAATCGTAGTAATAGTCATAGTAGCAATAGAAATAGTCATAGTAGTAGTGGTAGTAGTAGTTGTCGTCGTAGTAGTAGTAGTAGTGGTGGTGGTGGTGGTGGTAGTAGTGGTAGTAGTAGTGGTAGTAGTAGTGGTAGTAGTAGTGGTAGTCGTAGGGGTAGTAGTAGTGGTGGTAGTAGTGGTGGTAGTAGTAGTAGTAGTAGTAGTAGTAGTAATGAGAAGGTTTCCGGAGTTTACTGGGGTTGAATCGGTTGACTCGAGGATTTTTTGGTGGGTTCTCAGGGCCCAAGATGTAACATTTTTCTGCTTGGTCTGAACATTTCGGCTTAAGGTTTCGGGGCTCACGGTTCAGGCTTTGGATCTCAAGCTTTGGGGCTTGGGGCTTCTCGGTTTTGGAGTCTTCGGATTCTCCGTCACGCGCTTCTAAGGCTTAAGCCCTCCGAAAGCCTGACACCACAAGTTCAGAGCACTGGAGGCCCCTCAAGCCGTCGATCACGCAAGCCCCGTAGGGCCTCAGGGTTCCAACCACGTCAACCCAGGTTTCACCTCCTGCCTAAAAGCCTTCAACCGCCCTGGGGCCCTGAGCCCTTGAGCTTTAAGCGAAACCTCTAAAGCCCTGAACCGAACAAAAACAAGCGCCCAAGCAGGAGCCCCTCCTCCCTCGAGTCTCGGCTCGGGCCGCGGCTTCTTCCTCTCGAACTCTCGGGCACCACCCGCAGGACGCGGGGGCGGATTAGGCCTTGAGCCCTAGGTCTGAGATGATCTGAGGGCCTTCAGACCCCGTGTGCCGGGCGATGTTCCTGAGGCTTTGGAACTTGATGGGGTGCAGCCTTTGCTTTGCTTGGAGGTTCTAGCTTGGAGGCGTTCCTGAGTCTAGGCCAGGCTTCAGAAGCTGAGGTCCGGGATTTTGGAAATGGTGGCTTGACCGCGAGAAGTGCAGTCATGCCTCCTTTTCGGTGTTTGTTTGATGCCTGATGGGCCTTTCACTGGCATTTATCAACCGGCTGTGTTGTCGAGATGTGGTAATCGACGGTGGGGGTTTCCTGGAGGTCGTCACCAGAAGGCTTGAATTGAAAGCAACCGTCTTCTGGCTTGTGGAGGATACGCAGTGGCGCATACGATCGGAGTCTTCTCAGGCACTCCTTCGGAATTCTAGACTGTTGCCATGCCTTTGTTCCGAGTTGCATCATGGTCTCTGTGTTCTTCGGTCCTATGCTTCCTCAGGGAAGCTGGAAGTAAGCAGATTGTGCAGTGTGTATATGCGTTCAAGCAGGAGTCCAGACTGGCCGAGACGTTCCGAATCAAAAGGTAGACTGCCCCACCCTGTGACGGGCAGGAGTTGTCAGAAACAAGCAATGAGCGCTTGCATTGCAAGTTGAGTCGGCCCCATGCATGCCAGGCGCTGGCATCAGCTCCAGGATAACCGCCTTCAGTGTCCAGGCGTCGGGGAAGCAGGGGAATCCGAGGTAGGCGTCCATAACCACGTACCCGTACCCAAGCTCCGCGAAATCCCGAGGCATAAAATCCGAGCACACATCCCAGGCGGCGGCCTCCATAGACCATGAAGCGCTCGAGGCAGTCCCTGGCTGCAGCTTAGAGTGGGATTGAAGGTTGGGCTTTAGGGGCTTGAGCTTGGGGGCTCCGTGGCTGCGGCTTAGGGGCTCAGGACCTGATGGGTTTCCGTTTTGTATTCGTATGCAGCAGGTCATCGGCAAAGCTCCAGGCGGTGTCATGTCATGGAGAAGAGGAGGGTCCTGCTCATTTTATGCCAGGCTGACTTTCATTTCACTTGTGTGACCATGGCATACAACCCCAGACTGTACAACACAATAGCTCAAGTTGAAAGGAGGTGCACTTGAAGGGTCGCGCACCCAAATTTCAGAAACGATCGCAGCCCACAAAATAGCTCAAGCTTAAAGGAAGTGCGATTGAAGGCCAAATTTCAGCAACGATAGCAGCAGCCCAAACACAGACTCGTACAGACTGCCAAGGCCCGTGCCTGCCTCGAAGCACAAGCTGCCAACGCCGGCTGCGATGCCGTCCTGGGGGCAATTTGGCTGGGATTCTACGGCTCAAGGTTCAGGGTAACACCCTCCACATCACTGCTACAAACGGACGTGGCATCCCTAGCATGGGCTTCTGCTGAGTCCCGGTCTGTCCCAGTCATGCTTTGGGAGGACTAGAGTCTTTAAGCTGTTTGTATCAGAATCGTGAGGCACCACACAAACTTTACTCCGTCTGCTGATCCTTGGTCCTGAGAAAGCCTGGCTACTTACTCCGGTTTCTGGCGCCCGTCTCCCCTGACTGAGGTCAAGTTGGAGTCACCAGAGACAGGGCTTGTGCTTCTGAGGGGCACCGGGGTTCAGTTGACGAAGGTCGAAGCCTAAACATGGCTTGCGGTTCAATTGTTGGACTTCGAGTTGAAGCCCATGCTTCAACGTAGTTCAGGTACGAGGGTACCTGCAAATGACGGCAAGTCGTGGGGCGTGTGCCACTTGGGCATGAGAGCCTTGTGAGATCTTGCCACCAATCCAGCCTGCCTGAGGGAGCGGCTTTGTACAGTCACGTCTTCGAAGAGGACAGCCCCTGCTCTCCTGGGCCTCGGGGCCCCAAGTGCAAGCCTCGCCTGAATGGCGAGTGACTGCTGTTATGCTGTTAAGCTTATGCTTGAAATAGTTCGGCAGCATAGACGACACATGACCGGATGGACACCCATCACGGGTCGTGCAAGATCCCAGAGGTCTTGCGGTGCCACGGAAATGATGCTACAGTCGGCAGCAGTGCATTGTGTCCACGATGGCGGAGACCTTAGGGTCATGAAGCGGCTCGCTCTGCTAGATCATGGACAGCAGTCATGAGCGATGGGTGTTTGTTGCGATGTTATTATGTTATTTTGACATCGCCCCTTTTCTCGGCTCACGCCTGCCTCGCTGTTGTGAACGACGGACCTTCGCTGCAAAAGCCGGCGGCCTATGCACGAGGGGTCATGAGGGCCTCCGGCTTTAAAATTTGCTGCGGGGTGCATTTCTGTCCGTGATCGCATTTACCATCGTCGCTGATTCTTTCTCTGGTAAGGTCAAGCCAGAATTCCGAAGCCTTCAACTTGGAGCCTTTTTAAGATTAGGCGTCAAAGCTTTTGTAATATGTGTATATATATATATATGTATATAAGTATAATGTAGATTTACATGTTTTCAGGACCATGCGAAAATCGCTCCACTTTGCTTAATTGCCCAATCGGTCACTGGCTGGACTTCGGGCATGTTTTGGGTATTCAGTCTTTACCATCTTGGGTATCGAGTGTTTACCCTCCTGCATCCGGACTGTCGATGGCCGAATCCCGACTCTCCGCACTGGGCACTCTATACGACATGCGTCTTATTCCTGGTGGCCCAGTAGTCTTCAAGCAGACCATGACGGTGATGATGATGTTGATGATGAGGCTGATTGTGATGAGGTAAGTTTGAAGGGTTAGTGTTGAACCCTAACCCCAACCCGGTTCCAGCCCTTCAACTCCCTCCTTAACATGTGTTACACTCCGACGAACAAGAAGGAGACACTTTGCGTCTTCGCTTTCGAGCAGTGAACCCCACCACTATGATCATGGGCATGGTTGCGCAAACGACTCGACGAAACAGGAGAAGAAACTTGTGAGTGGCTGATGATGGTAGTGATGACCACGAGAGCGACGACGATGAAAGCGGTGGTGGTTGTGATCATGAGGATGGCGACGACTCAGCAAAGATGATCACGGAAGCAAGGGATTCGCCACCAACTCGAGGCTTTGTGCAATGGGCCGGCAAAGTCATACCCTGCCGCCGGGCGCGGGACTTTGCAGTGTTGTCTTTTTCCTGATGCAGGCGGGTCGGTTTGTCGGTTTCACTGCAGCAGAATACGGTAGTGGCCAGGGGATCCAGCGCAAGAGCAAGTACACCTCGCCACCAAGGTCGAATGGCGGGCAGGCCGCGTCAGTGCTGCGAAGTTCAGTCAAGCACCCGAAGCCCCAAAGCCTAGATGCCCAAGCCTAGAAACCCGAAACCACAATCGCTGCGCCCCAAGTTCTCAAGCCTGAGCAAAGCCATCCAGAATCCAGAAGTTGTCTGAAGCTTTTTTGAACCGCCGCTGCGAAGGCGCCGCTCTGACTGGTCGAGGAGGTTTGGCGCAGGCCTTCCAAACCCCAAGCCCTCATCCCATCTGAGTACCGTGCTGCAACGTGCAGGAGCAATGGTAGTGAGAGTTTACCGAGGTATTGACATCGTCTCGGAGATGATAGATAATGCATCTGGTTTAGTCATAGGTTGAGAATGGTTGGTGATAATTCTGGTAACATGGGGGCAACAGCACTGCTACATAGTTGTCGTAAATTGTACCCTAGTTTATCCTGGCCCTGCAGCCAGGAGTCGCAGCGGCGGTTGGGGTGGCCTCTGTCTACTCCCCAGTAATCGCTCTTTTGATGATGTCGATGTCAGGAATTTCCAATGATGTCGATGTCAGGATTCCAAGGTTCCAGGGTTGAGAGTTCTGGGTTGTAGGGTGTCAACTCCTCGGGGGAGCGTCCCAGTGCAGGGGCTTTCAGCTTGTCGTGAATGCCACACCTCGTTTCCTTCTCGTTTGTAAGGGTAGTAGAGGTGCTTCAGGCTGCCCCGTTGCCGAAACTCGTCACCTTTGAGTGTGAGAGCTTCAGAGCAGCACGCCCCCGGCAATCCCCTCACCTGCAGGCACAAAACCTACTGCCACGACAGCTCATTGAGCGGTACCTGTCTTGGTCTTGGGATGGTGAACGACTATGACGGCTATGGCAAGTATGGTACTTCTTGCGGTTATGTTGGTTGTCATCATCGTCTTTCCTCATGACGGGGGCCAGGGGCGTGCCTTGACAATGATGAAATGATAGCTGATGGTCGATGATGGACGATGGTGGCGACTACCATGATCATCATGATGCCAGTTTGCCAATCGATGCCCGTGAGAACGGTCACCGACCTGTCTGTCATAAGGATGATGGCCATGGTCACACTTGTTCCTCTGCTTTTGCTTCCCTTTGATGGTGGTCCTTCTCATCTACTCAGAATCTGCTCTTTTGCTCCTAC